AAAACAAAGCCTCATTGGTTGGGCTGCTTAGTTTTTCTTGTGATATTCTTAATTTAATTTTTTTTTTTTATTACTTCCTCAACTCAGATTCAAGCTTGAGACCTCACATATACCAAGCAAGTGCTCTCTATCAACTGAGTAAAAGAGTTAACTCATCAAATGAGTAAAATAGTTAACTCACAAGAACTTGCTAGTAGTGCACTCTATTTTTCAACAAATCAAACTGCCACAGTATCAGTGATTCTATAAATTTTTACTGGTTTCATAGAGACAGCCACTGTAAACACAAAAGTAAAGAAGTAAAAGTAACCTCACAACATTGTCTCTTACCTTTCAAACGAGCTGTTTTATCTATCCAACTGCCAATAGGAGCACCACAAATAATTATGGCTAAACTTGCTGTAAAGCCATAAATTGCTGCCAGTCTAAGAGATTCTGGATAAAGCTTTATGAAGTACAAGCCAACAGCAAAGGACCACATACGATCTCCCTGATAGAAAACACGAGTCATCAATAAATTTCTGTATTTTAATTAAAAGAAATATTAATGAAAAGTTAAAACTGAACAGTAAAAACATATCTAATTATATACTCATGTCAAGTACTAAATGATGGTCATAACCCTACTAAAACTTTAAACATTAGTGACTGAGGTTGAAGTATTCCCAATATTTCAAATATTATAAAATATGCAAATTAGACTTCTGTAATAAAATGTGGCTAATTTTAGTAGTATTTCAATTCATAAAACATACACATTATAATTCCATTTGATTTTTCCCCATGTAACTGGTTTCTATGTTTATTAAGAATAGGATATTTAAAATGAAGTTCTTATTTTCAGTATTGGTTATGCACACCACTAACAAATGTCACTAAGATTAATGCATGAATTTACCTTATCACATCAAGAATATGTTGATTGAATAGATGGATAGTTTTTCACTGAACAATTAAATTATGGTGTTATTCTATAACTTCACACTTTTATGTGAAATATATAATCCCCAACATTAAAAATATAGCACGAAAAAAATATCAAAAATATTTAATGGACCCATCCCTAAACACCTAAATGAGATCTTGCAAAGGTCACTGATGTTCCTGAATTAAAAAATAGATGACTCAAATGCTCTATAGAACTTAGTTAACCTTAAATCACATTATTATATTATTTAAGCAAATTATATATATATTTGATTTGGCAAGCTTCTGCAAAGTGTAAAAGTAAAAAAAAACAACTAGAGAAACTATAATAGGAATGAAACACCCAGTAAAGCACAAACTTTAATGGAAGGGTTTTTGAAACTATATGTAACATTCTCATTTCTAATTCGTCCATTATATTTTGCTTAATTATTCTTACTGCATGAGTGTCTAATCTGTACAAATTTGCAGTGTGTTACAACTGTAAACTTGTTGATGCACGTGATCAGTTTGTGATTTGTGATTGTTGGTATCAGTTAATTAAAAAAGAAATTTCATAACTTCCATATTTCTTTGAATAACTATTTATTAAATAATTTTTTGTTTTTTTTTTATTTTTGAGGTTCAAAACCAGTGGATGAATAAAAACAACTGCTGTACTAAACAACAACTTAAACCAATTATTAAAATAACAACCAAGCTGATTGATGGCAGTCACTGAAGAATGACAAAACAATAAGTAGATATGTAAAAACACAGTAATTAATAAGTGAAATTGGTAACTCAAACTTTAATTAACCATAAACCAAACATATAAAATACTTTCACTAAAGTTTATTCTCAGATCAAATGTCAATGTAATTATGGTTACAGGGCCACTCCCAGAAACCAGGTTCTATTAGAAAAATACTGAGGACAAAGAAAAATTCAAGTTCCATCAAAAACATTTACAAAAAACTTGACTGAATTTCACTAGTTGTTTTATTTTTCCCATGTAAAACAAAGAAAGAAGAAGAAACACAACAAAATTTTCATTTTTTTTTTATTTATTTATTTCATTCAAAATTGCTGACTCAATTTCATGTCATCTCTCCCACATCTCCCCATCCTTCAAAATATCTCTTTGCTTTGAGATTTGGGGAATAAACATATTATGCATGCCCTTCACACAAGAGCTGACTACATGTACAGTTATCACTTTTATGCTGAAAATTTAAATCATTTATTAACTCTTTTTCGTAACCTCTGACACATAATTACAAACCTAATTATTTTTTAAAATAATAACACTATCTACAAAAATCAAACCCATAAAATATAATAAAAATGTATCCCCATATAAATAATAAACATCTCATTTAAAAAAAAAGTTCCTCTTTTCAAATTCAACAGAAAAAAAAAATAGGCATTACTGAAGATGAATGTACAGTCTACTTTCAATGTACTGTTTAGCACTAATTATGCAATTACTTATGCAACACCTGAAGTCAACATTAAAGCAACTGTTGTGTGGGCAGCAAAAATAAACAGAAAACTCCTACATGTTTTTAACTTACATTAAACTCAATAAAGATATTGATAATTCTAAGACATACTTACCCATGACGAAAGAGCTCGGCTGCAGTATAACTTAAACCTGGTTGTGTAGAAAAAACTGCATTTTCCTAAACAAGAGAAACATTTTCCTTACAAGACATAAAAATATTTATCAATAAACTTGATGTACAGATAACTGAGAAAATACCTTGGACCATTCAGAATCAACTTTAAGAAACATGCAACTTTTCTTATGTAGTCTATTTCTTTTCGAGCCATTTAAAATCAAAAACACTCTGTGTTACTGAACCATTCAGGAAACAAACACCAAACTTTACATATGTCTCAAAATCATTCTCAATTTTCAATAGATTTGTATTTTATTCTTGTAAAATGCTATTTATTATTGCCAAATTAAGTAGATCAAAGTTTATTTTTTGTGCAAACTTACAAACTTACTTCCATAGAACTTTTAAATTAAAGAAAGCTTCTTTAACACATTATCGTACTAATATTAACTTTTATTAGTATTTACTTTGAAGTAGTAATTCTGTCCTCATTGAGTAGATCTGAGCCCAAACAAGTCTTTCTTTTTCATATTATGTTAGATATGTTTACAAAATAAAAATTTTAAATATCGAAGTCAGATATCCTTGTAAAGGATAACTAGGAAGTTAAGAAGCTTAATGTGTATATGTGTGTATTATGGTGCATGTTGCAAATGCTATATCACAAGTGAGATTAATGTAACTTTAATACTTAAGAATGGGTATAAAGCAGATATTTAAAACCTCATAAGGATGGTAGTTTGTAAAATAAAGTAGTTGAAGTATTTTAATATATTTTAATTGCAAAACAAAAATGAAAAGAAATATAGATATAAACCATACTTTCAACTCATCAGTTCTTCCAGCAATCTTTCTTACAAATAATTGTAAACAAATTACTAAAACCTAAGCTAATTACTCCTTAAGCAACAAAAATTCTCTCTACAAAATTCAACTTAGAGCCATAGGAAATATTTTTAAACCTTGTTCCAACATAGATCTTTATATATATTGTTTTTCAATAGAAATAGATAACTTATGAGAAAAAAATCAACTTTCAACTTCAAGTGAAGGCTAATCACAAACTTATTATCTATGAACATATAAAAAAATCTGGTTCAATAATCATAGGACCTGAGTTCACAAGGTTTTTCTCTACAATCAATGCAGGAAAAAAAACTTACTAAACTTTTATTATAGCAGATAACAAAACCATACTTGTCACCTAATTAGACATTAATATTGTATATATATTATCCTGAAAACCAACACAAGTTCATTTAAAACTGTTCTCGTGTAAAAAGAAATATGTGAAAGATTAAAATAACTATTCCCACATTATATTATGTTTCTTAACTGATTCTGACATTGTGAAAAACAAACTTGGAAAAGACTGTCAAGATATTTCAATCCATATTTATAATACTAACAAGAACACATTCCTATGATGTCTCCCAACATATATTTCTGTCAAGTCCCCTTTAAAATATTCTTGAAACACATTTCTGTGAAGTCCCCCTGTAATACTTTCCTGCAATGTCTGCTGAAATATATTTTTGTAAAGTCCCCATTAACACACTCCTGCAGTGTCTCCTGAAATTATCCAATAAATATTCATGCTAAGATAAAAGAAATTTCATCTGATACAAGAGAATCAACCTAGTCCTTAAGATTCTTGGTAAAAGCTAAATTTTGTGATAATAAGGTAATGTGAAGAAACAGTAATGCAACACAGGACCATTATACAAACACAAATGAACAGGGGTATCAATTAACTGCCATTATTTTATTAAATTATGTTTTACAAACAACTTTTATAAAGAAAACAATGTTTTGAGAAGAATTTGCTGATGCACTGAGCATGTCAACATAATGAATGAGAAATAAATTTAACATCAGTTCTAAGATTCTGAAAATGATCTTAAGCCCACTTGTGTGATTGCTACTTCTTGATGCAATGACATCTTGTTCAAATATTGCTGTTTTAATATTTTTCTTTCAGATCCTTTTTAAATTATTTTGCTTAACAAACTTACTTATATAAGCCGTTAACTTAGTTTAAGTAGTTTCCTTCATAAATAACGAGTTTAACACTGTCTACTTCTTGCACTTTTTTCTGAACCTAGCTTTAACCATAAACTTAAGTTAAGCCTTAAGATGAGATATGGTGATACTGATAAAGATATTCCATTCTCTTAAAATATTATTCGTTGGTATAAAATCACTCAGAAGGGCTTTGTAATACTAATAGTAACCAAAGAATGTTTTTTTTAGTTACCACTTTAGTATTATTTATTTAAGTGGTATTTCAGAGAGTTTAAGTTTTTCAACGTCTGGTACAGTGGTAATGGTACTGTGATAATGATGGCATATCTCTAATTCTGTTCTTCAGAAGTTCAAAAACCATCAGCTGATGACCTAGCAACAAGGTTACTAAATACTTTTAGTTTTACAATTTTAAGGCAAAGTATCATAAAAATATATATGTTATACTAACTGATACAAATAAATGTCATAGCTATTAAACATAAGCCAAAACATACAAATACGAATTTACTCAGTTAATCACCATACTATTTAACACCGCCATGCCTTGCTTGCCCTTACAAGGCACAGTAATGATTGATAAGCAAAATCCAACAAGTCTAACAAGCCATAAACATGCAAGGGTTAAGCTTTACCGTGGTTTTTTCGCATGGATGTTTCCAGTTGCGGTATATCTCTGTCATCAGCATCGTTACTAGCATCTTCTTGTTTCTCCATATTCCAATACTTCGCACAATATATATGTATATATATACACAGAGAGAGAAAGTGGGAGAAAAAATAAAAAGATACTTTTCAAGCACCAGTAGGCAGTACTATTTCCACCTTGCTACAGAACTCGTCAGCCGCTGAGTGATGTTCATGTCGTTTATCCCCGTTATTATTGCAGTTGCACACACCTTGTTATTTCTCCAGCTTGATGCTGTTGGTTACAATAGTATCAATGTCAACACTAGGCATGGGCGACACAGGGATGATTGACTGGAGTGCCAGTTTCTTGGCCATCGTTTCAACTAAGCTAAATATATTAATAATAGCGTGTAAACATTTGCGCCAACCATTTATTTAGTTTTCCCAATGTTCTTTCATTCTATACAGTATTTTTCTTGTTGTTGATTTTTGTTTGTATGTATGTTTCTTTAATTCACAAGCAGACTTTAGTTGGGGAAGTAAACAAATATCCTTTGAAAAATGGACCTGAAAATTTCACTGGCATCAACAAGAAGTTTAATTACTTATGGATACCTTGGTGAAGAGAGGTTACTAAGGGAAACTTAAATTAATGTTCTCATATGTTTTGAAATATTTTCAACTGATCTCGTTTTTTTTTTTTGTTTTTTGTTTAGAATGGGCATCATTGCAGCAGTCGGAGATTAAATACCTATCATGTCCCAACAATGAATATATATATATATATACAGTGTCTCTTTTCTTAATTTAATTTTATGGTCAGGGCATTCCGCAAATTTGTACTTCGTACCTTCGTTATGTAACGCAGGCTTTTGATTTTTTGTTATCGACAGTGCTGGTTAGACTTTTATTACACTAACTGGCTCCCTTGTGTTAATCACACAAGAGTCCACAATATACAATAATTTCATGTCAAGAGGAAGATTTTTTATTCTGTTGCAAAGCTACACATAAGTAGAAAAAAAAGAGAAATAAAAAGAGCATTACAAAAAATTGGAAAAAACATGGTAGAAAAATTCAAAAAAATCAAAGAATAAGACAGGAGATTTAGAGAAGCTTTGGAAAAGCACAGCTGAAAACAACAACAACAAAAAAAAGAATCAATAATATGGTCGTAAGACTGATTCAAAAACAACAATGTAGTGAGAAATTTAATGGAGTATTATAATAATGTACCATCAGCTTAAATCAGTGCCAAACATTAAAGAAAAGATAAACATAACAATAAATTATAGGCTACAACAGACACTGTGGATTATGCATAGTGCTATTTTAAGTGTCATGATAATTCGATAATATTTCCTGCTGAAGCCAATGGAGTTTATGTTCAAACCTGATAAGTTTACTGTTCTACGAAGAAACATGATTTCAAAAATTCACATTGATAAGTGTGTTAAACTATACAGCGAAGCTAAATTACTTTATCTTATTCAAAATTATTCCTATGATTGAAAAGATAAAAAAATTATGCTACATGTTTACGGGATATAGTAAAAAAAAAGAGCTTTAATATATAAAGTTATTAAACCAAAAAGGTAATTCTCATTTATCTCAATATTATTTGTTTTGCAATTGAACAATATTTGCACAGCGTTCATATCAAAAATAGGAACGCTTGTCTGTTGATAATTTGGCTGAACTTTGCAAGATGAACATTGTTATATGTTAATAGCATTTTGCAAAGTATTCTATTGGATTTTAATTGTATGAAAAGGCTCAGTGAAAATAATATCCCTTTTATAACTTTATACTTATATTTGACTATCGAAATTTTCATTCAGCTCTTTACGAAGTTTTGTTCTGTTTCTTTTTTTTTTTTTGTAAATATATAATAAGATCAGTTGAGTTTGTTTCAGCTGTAAATTTCAGTTTTTAAATGCTTAAATTACATTTGTTAGTTTTAGATCATGATTTTAACCTAGTTCTAACTAAATCAATTGTTAATGTTGTATGTTTGATTCATTTTTGTGTAAATAATATTTTGTTTTAGTTTAGTTTTGTTTTTATCAATAAAACACCCGTGTTTCTCAGTACAAACAATTATAAACTTTCATATCACAACCAGAATCTGTTTTGTCTTGTTTGTTTTTAACTCTTGGCGTATTTTCTTTCTGTGAAAATTTTGAAGTACTTAGTTCTTATCTAGTATACAGTACAATTTATTTACTTAACTTTTATTCGTCTACATTATAAAGTACACTCTACTTACTTATATTTAGTTCTTGTACGGCGCACAGTACAATTTATTTCTTTAAATTTAGTTTCTCTACAGCATACAGTACAAATATTTACTTAACTTTTCTTCTACAGTATACAGTATAATATATTTTCTTATATTTAGTACTTTTAAGTTGTAATACAGTACATAGTACAACCCAGTTCTTTAAATTCAGTTCTTCTGCTAAATACTTTTACAGTCTGAAAAAAAAGTAGCATAGAAATAAGTATCAAATTAACTGATACTAAATAAACTTAAACTGTCATAGCTATTAAAAATAAACCAAGATGTACAATAACGAATTTTCTTAATTAGTCTAAATCCCACCAGTATGTACTACAAATTCTGAAAAACAACAAAATTTTTATTATGACAGTAACCTGTATTAAAACAGTATTCTTAAGCAGTAGAATTCAAGCAGCGAAGTGAGCATTCGGCTTGTGTTCAGTAGAGTGTATATCTCTTGATGAAGCCGTCATGTGAAACGTTGAAGAAACAGATAATTTTCACTGGATACTGGCCGTTTCTCTTCAATAAACAATATTGTTAACCATTAGTCGATTTACAAATAAGCCCGTTAAGAAGTACGCGCTTGAATCAATTATCTATTTTCTTTCTTTTTGATACTGTTATATTGGACAGTGGTATGTTTATGGACTTACATCGCTAAAATCCGGGGTTCGATTCCTTGCGGTAAACACAGCGGATAGCCCAATGTGACTTTGGTCTAAAAACAAACATACTGTTGCGTCAGCGAGGTCACGTGACTAGTATCACGCCACGTCCTTCTCGAACCTTCGTGAATTGTCGGGAGACTACTAGATTAGGAGTAGTTTGGTATATATATATAAGACGGTCACAGCGTGACGGAGGTAATGAGTAATTGAATGTATGCGGAGAATATTGTTGGCCACGTGAGACGTGAGTTATAGCGTTTGTTATAGACGACTGTTGAAATTAAGTGTATCGTAAAGTTGTATTCGGAAAGAATAAACCAGTTTTATTTAAGAAAGGACTTGTGTCGCTAAAGTTTAGTCGGAAAGAATTTACGGAAAATTAATTAACAAACGGAGACGTAACAATACAATTGATCTATTCTATTGACAATATTTTTGAATTGTGATATTGTGACTTAAGTTACTCCTTAATTAAATGTATTTTTTTTTCTTTAACTTCAACACCCACTTTTGCATTAGATTCACTGCAAAGATGGTTCATTAATTACGATTATTTTCAATAAACTCACCTTAATATCTGTTTGTTTACCTTCCCCATGCCAAACGTCATGTGATCATTAGTTACCTTCAAACAAGTAGAATCAAGAAACTTTTACTATTCAGAAATATATAAAAGAAGCTGAATAAAATTGGAGTTTCTACCTGTGTGACTGAAAAATCGAATAGGTTGGTAAAAAATTTTAAGTTGAATCTTCTCTTAACCTTCCTTAGCACTATGGGGAATTTTTCTTTAAAAATTGTTTCTGGGAGAGAGGAGGAAGATAAGGATTATATTTGGTGACTCATGTGGCATTCAAAGGCCGAAGGCGAAGAAGCATGTCTATAAACATGGTCTGGTTGTATTCTCTCATACTTTTTCACAACTATGTCCAAAAATTGTACAGTTTTAAAGGTTCCTAGCTTTTTCATGTCAAAAAGTATTATGTAGAAATAAAACACTCATATTTGCAAAAATAAAAAATAAAAAAAATATGAGAGATTAAATTTAAGGGGAAGCTGTCCCCTGTCCTAGGGAAAGAAAATATCTGGCACTATAGTTAAACAAGAGGAGCTATATATAAATGTAGATTGAATGCTGAATATAATGCTAAAATCTGTTGCGTCAGCGAGTCACA